GTACACATTATATAATTATATGTCTGCTCACTCGGTAATACGACTGATTGGGATAATTGGGATAACGAAAGAAAATAATAAGGTAAATTGTGATAGTTGACCTATCGGGAACATGAAAGAACTATAGGTGGCAGAAAATTGACAAAAGAGACAGTATGCGGACAGTAAAGAAAACTTATCAGACCTATCATCATGCTTTTAATTATGATGTATACAAAATTATCTCTTCAAAATCAGAATTGAAGTGGACTTTTCGGGAATGAGTCGATTGGCGTATATAAGTATATATCTTTCGGCGCTGCGCAGTGAACGGTTGAGTTTCAACAGCTATTTCGGATATTATTTCCGAATATGATAAATGTTATAAAAAAGGGGTTCCGGTCTATCAATAATGATCGTCAGCGTGGCCAAAATATGTCAAAAACTCTTCTTGAAGAGATGACAAATGGAGAAAATGAGTCTGATAACTTTTCTTCACCATGAAAAATTGTAGGAACTTATGATGTTACCGATGAAGTGAGCACTGCATATTATTGTATTTCTAGATGGAGGCCAATCATTCGGATGTTTGCTGAAAACAGATTGAAAGATAATGTTTAACTGACTGTATAAATTACAAAACTTAGTTAATTTCACTACTAATATTATTGATTATTTCTAAATGCTCAAAACTCATAATTATGCTTTTTTACTTCGTTTATCAATTTTTTACGTATTACATGAAGGGCTCAGGTGTAACTTACAAGATGCAGGGTTGCCCCCCTTGTTATTCTGCCGCGCTCGAGTAAATCCAAATATCTCCACTTGGGCTCTCCTACCGTAGATCGCCGTTTTTCAAGATATTTCTAAGGCTTTTGACATATGGAATCGCTGTCGGACTTTGCAACTGGATTGCAGATTTTCTGAGGGGCAGATCGATACGAGTGGTCATTAATGGCACATCGTCGGATCTGCTTGGTATTAATGCCGGTGTCCCCCAGGGATCGGTCCTCTCCGCATCTCCTTTCTTGCTGCACATCAATGATCTGCTCCTAACTCTCGGTATCTTGGGTATGCAGACTACAGCACAGTCTCGCAGAGATATCTGTCTGGTGTGAAGTCTGATGCGGATGTCCGATCTTTAAGGGAGGCGATGGTGAAGGAGTGAATGCAACCCTGGAAGCTGTTTTCCTTTGGGCTGAAGTTAACTTGGTTGGGTCCAATCCCTCTAAAACACAGGCTTGTTTCTTCTCGGCGAAACGGAGTCCATTCCATCTGACTCCGACTTTCTGAAATGTCTCCGTGCTGGTTAATTTAATCTATGCCTTCACAGTTGTTTGATTTAAAATTATTTATTGCTTATTAATAAGGTATACTCACTATGCATACTTAAATATAAGTAACTTTTTGAAGTGATAACGTCTTATTAATTGATGAACACCGGCTGTACGCACGACAAAGTATGACATCATGTCACGAGCCATGTTATGTGATGGGCGTCATGTCATGTACGTTCCGCGGTGTGTGTGTGAGGTGAGGTCGGGCCCTCGATCTTTGGAGCCCTCCCTCTGATTCTTTATCTCCAGAATAGAATTTAAAAGTTTTGCTTCATAGAAATTCTGCATATTAGACATTCGCTGTCCTCTACTTTCTAGGTAATATTAGATTTTAGACGTATCCCTAATTCTGTATTTTAGTACTGTAGACATTATGTATCTTGGAAATAGATTTGAGGCGTTTTGCTTCAAAGACGTTCTGCAAGTAGGCTTTGTGATTATAAATGGAATAAATTATATAATTATCTACAATACAATTAATCAAATCAAATAAATTCAAAGTTTAAACAGTGAGTTGGTCGGTATGTTAAACGAGACTGCAACATATAAAATGGGCAGTAGACGATTTATGACTTATTACCAATTGGCTTTGGCTTGCATCGAAGATTATAGGTGTTTTCGCCTTGTTCGTTCCTTATTCCGAGTACACATGACTAATTAAGAAAAAGGCAGGTACCGAGTGAAAAACGGCAGCTGTAAATCACGCCAAGCATGTAACATGTAATAATGTTAAGATTTATGGTGGGCCGAAGAACAATGCGGTTTTGTGCCAATGCATTTTATTTGGATTGGCGGCTCCTGTTGCAAGCTTATTGAAATGAGACGGGTTTAGTGTTGTGGGGCCATCGATAGTTTTATTTGGCGACTAGTGCTGCGCTCGCTTCGCTTCAGCGTAGACTATAGATTTTTAACTGAATTCAAAAAGGAGGAGATTCTCAACTCATTAGATTTTTTTATTGTTGCTCGCGTATATCTCCGAGATGAGTAGTCCGATTTAGATGTTTTTTTTTGTTTGTATCATTTTTTTGGCGAGATGGTCTCATATTAATTTGGTGAGGATCTGATCAGTACTTTAGGAAAAAACAATGAAACTCTTTAATTACAAACAGCGGGGCTATTCCGTAAAAATTTCACTCGTGGATCCGATGCGTTTCCGCGCGAATCTATATGGGAAACGCGCGGATCCGCATATCCGTACTTAATCACATTCAATTATGATAGGCCTTACGAATCTAACGTAAATAGGTATGTAGAATAAGAAAATCAGTTTGATACATCATATTTGTGTATATTTCCTCAACATTATTATTTTTGTATGAATTTTAATTTAAAAAGACCAAGTATCTCGACTCTCAAAGGTATTTTTTTATTCACGAAAAATCCTAAGAGTCCTTGCACTGTATATGAAATCTTTTAAGGACACCTTAAACAATGTCTTAATATGATTAAGTAATCTGGGTCCTTCGTGCTTCGGAAGGCACGTTAAGCCGTTGGTCCCGGCTGCATCTGCAGTCGTTAACACCCACCGATCCGCACTGGGCCCGCGTGGTGGGTCATGGCCCAAACTTCCTATTCCATCCATAGGGAAGGCCTATGCCCCAGAAGTGGGGACATTATTAGGCTGATGATGAATCTGGGTGCTGTATTGAGGTATTTGTATTTTTTAACAAAAACTTCTTTGAAATGTGAATACGTTAACGTTAATTTCACCCTAGTCAAAAGGGAAAAATAATGCGGTGGATTTCATTCAGTGGAATATCACGGATTTAATTCTCTGTTCGCTTTTTACACGCAAATTATGTCGAACATTTGTATAACATCGATTTTCTGGTATAATTAATATGGAAATAAGTGATTGACAGATCATCCACTTGAACGTTCTTGATGAATTGAAATTTTCAACTGATTCAATTACTGTTCAAAATAATAATGAAAATAACTACATATATAATTTAATTTCGGACAACTCACAATGTTAAGTGAGACAGTCATAATCACCATCATCAGCCTATTAATGTCCCCACTGCTAGGGCACAGGCCTTCCCTATGGATGGAATAGGGAGATTGGGCCATGACCCATCACGCGGGCCCAGTGCGGATTGGCGGGTACTAACGACTGCAGATGTAGCCGGGACCAACGGCATAACGTGCCTTCTGAAGCACGGATGAGCTCAAGATAGTAAATTTTTTGGTCACCCAGCCAATGACTGACCACTGCGAAAGTTGCTTAACTTCAACGATCGCAGTCGAACGCGCTAACCACTAGCGCCATCGAGCTCCTCAAGTCCAGTGAGACGGTCATTCACCTTTGATATACTTAACGCCGCCTGTAATTTTACTACCAGTGGTACGTAGTCCCTTCGGAATGACCTAAATGTTGCCGACCCTCTCCGAATGGTTTTCGTGTAATCATAATTATAATGATCATAATCAAAATCATTTATTCAGTTTAGACTGTTACAAGCACTCATGAATGTCTAGAAGCTACGCCATCGGTTCGTAAATCTACGACGGGAGACCTTGTATTGAAAAGAACCGGCAAGAAACTCAGCAAGGGCTGTTTTTTTCAGCTATCATATATGTACTATCATACCTATCGGAATCAAATAAATAGTTCTGTTAATTCGTCACAAAAAGTTTAAATTCATCACAAAAAGGTTTTTTAAAGGTCGATTTATTAAAGTAAAGGCCGGGCATTCGCATTTTTTTAAATATTTTTAATATTTCCACACTCACACCAATTAACCTAGCCCCACAGTAAGCACTGTAAGGCTTGTGTTATGGGATAACCAGAGTAACGGATAGAATGCATATACTGTACAATGTACATATATCAGTATATTTATATAGAAAGACATAATAAACATCCACGACTGGAGTACAAATGCTCGTATTAATCACACAAATATCTTGACCAATTGTATCTCATGAAAGTTCTAACAGCATATACATATATTTGCCTTGCTTTGTTTATTTATTTACTATTTACAAAAAAAACAAGGTTAAACAAGCATAACTGTACCCCTAATAGAAATGAACCACTACAACTTTTAGGCGTGTGCTTTACTAGAGCGTTAATCACACGTTGCCTGCATTGACCCACACCTCTACCCCGGGCAGTTTTTTTAAGGTTTATGCAGGAAAACGAGCTGACAGTCCACCTAATGGAAAGCACTATCACTGCCGCCCATGTAGACTTGCAGCACCAAGGCCACCACTCATGCGCTGTGGACGCTCAAGGAAAAGCTTTACCCGCCTCTTGGAGACCTCCATGCTGCTGCAGCAGCTGAAAGAAAAAACAGCTGTAGGAAGTTCGTTCCAGATCTTGCTGGAACGCAAATAAAAGGGATGCTCTTATCGCATGATGCTGAAACGTCAAGCGTCCAAATGGTGGGAGTGAGACTTCTCTCTGCTGCGTGTGGTGCGGTGAAGGATTTTGGCCGTTGGCACCAGAAAGGACAATTCTTCTGAGGAGATCTGGAAACCTTGCTCATCGTCAAAAACACTACACCACAAAATGGAGTGTTATTTCATTGTGGTCTTCTGTCAGATGGAGCTTAAATGCATTCCAAATCGTTCGGGAAATCCACTGTCTTATCTCTCCTTAAATCATGACTCCATAATTCATATATTATCTTATAAATTATCCTTATTAGGGTCTAATTACGGTCTTATTTGTTACAGCAAACTCAGCATTCACACCGCAAGACTGGCAGCCATCTTGATACTGCACGCTGCTGGGGCAGGACTGGCTTCTCCAACGGTACTGGTAACCAGGACTCAGACCATGATCGAAGTGGAATGGCTGCTGAGTGACAACCAGACAATATACAATCTACGGGAAGGCGAGAGCAGGAGGTATATATATTAACGACTGTACTCAGTAACGTCAAATCAGTTCCTTTCAATCTTTTTCTGTTTAGATTGGATATTGTACATCATCATACATCATTAGCCTATTAAGTCCCCAATGTTGGGACACAGGCCATGTCTACCGATGGAATAGGGAGATTGAGTTATGACCCACCACGCGGGCCCAGTGCGGATTGTTGAGTGCTAACTACTGAAGGTGCAGTCGGGAGCAACATATTAATGTGCCTTAAGTTTTTGGTCACCCATCCACTAACCGACCATTGCGCTTTCGCAATGTTTAACTTCCACGATCGTGGGCCGAACGCGCTTACACCTGCGCTATCGAGGTCCTTCTGATTTTGTACACTTTGTAATAATCCAGCGATGCGTCTACGTACTAGGTATCTTCACGTTAGACGTTTAAATATCATTTGAGGAATTAGCAGAGCATATAAGATATAAATGAAAATTATATTTAACGTTACTCCAGTTATCTCTAATATTGGTAGGAACAATACCGAAAGTTTGCAAGGACATGCCTTAGAACCTGGAGGCCTACTCTATTTCAACGAAAAACGAAATTTCGATCGAAATTTCGCACGTTCCATACTCTGTTTCCTTTTCATTTCGAAAATTCGTTCGTCCGAAATATTTTGACAATTAAATTCTCCAAGTCTACTCTAATTCACAAAACTTTCGAAGGAAAAGTTGAATTTGACAGATAATTGATCGAAGTTTTAACCTCAAATCGACGAAATGAAAAGTGTTAGCTTTTCATTTTCGTTTTGAGATTTTTGTTTTAATTAAGCCTAAAATACTTGCAAGAGTATTTTTAATAATAGCTGTTTAGCTCGAGTAACATATTTAGCATGTAAAATTAACAAATAAACCATTTTTTTATTATTTTTTGTAATTTAGATACTTCAAAGTAATAAACGACAAATTGAGGTTGACATACAGTAGATTGTATCGACTCTACAAATTAGTCGGCTAACACTGTCAAAGAAGGTTCTTTTAATGTCATCAAAAAATTTGCCGTAAACTACCTATATTGCTTCCAAGTAAAAAAACGTTTTCTTAAAAGTAGAGATAAAAAGAACTCACAAACATGACTCATTCCATTCGTTCACGAAAACTGTTTATGGTTCCGAAGTTAATGTGCCTGTTCGAAAATGAAATAGAGTAGAGACACTGGCGAAATTTCGTTTGAAATTCGTTCGTTACCGAAATTTCGTTTCGGAGAAAGAGAGTAGAGCTCCTGTACGTACTAGTTTCCACATACTCTTACTATCTGTACCCCTAGCACGAACCAATATCGAATTCGTATAGTTTGCGGGTGCGAAATGTCAATGTCAAATTTTTTATGGAAACCTGAATAGCAGTGCCATAACGGACGTAACGAGAACTAAACTTCAGTACACATTTGACAATGACATATTGTACTCGCAAACTATTCGAATTCGATATTGGTTCGTGCTAAGGGTACTGCACTGAATGTAATTGTTGGCGCATTCTATGCTTTGCTTTTGCTTCCAGTCCATCATGGGAGTCTGGGAAGTAAAAGTTCAATATCTAAATATTAGAAATTGTAAAAGATTATTATCTAATCATCACACGTTATTGACGCTTTATTCAAATTAGTATTTCAAGTAGGTAGTAGGTAGGTATCAGAAAAAATTTGCTTGGTGCGCTTGCTAGGAAATTAAGGAATTTCATAACTCACAGATACATCGTTTGTAATTAATTTGAATATAAATATTTATTATTATCGACATATCAGGTGAATGTTGATGAAAAACGGCAGACTTATTTTTAAAGACATTGCCTGATACGGAAACGCAATATGGTAGCATATAAAATTAGGTTTAATGGAACAATTATTAAAGGCCCTTAATAAAATATAAATAAGAAAAGGAAGCCCTAAATAAGAGCCTTAATAAAATGGTTCCACGAAACCTAATTTTAAAATCTGATCTGTCAAAATTCTGAAGTCATTTTTTCCTTGTGCTAAGTAAAAAAATTGTTAATAACAATTTTCTTCGTTAGTAAAGCTCGAAATGTTTTTATTAAGGAGCCACCCAGTTCCCAAAATTGTATATTAATGTACCAAACTTTTCTCTTTGGAAAGAAAGTTAATAAGATCACACTTACAAGACGCGGCAAATGAACTTCAATAATAAAATCAATTTATCGCGATTTTAACATTAAAATTGCTTGTTTGTCACCAACAAACAAGCTTAAGGCCCGATTGATGGAAAGCGGCTACCAAAGACTATAGACGCTTGCGATACCAAAAATATCACTCACACCGTTGCCAACCTTGACCAAATCCCCTACCCAATGAAGACCTGGTACCTTACTCAGCCACAGAAACGCATCATCACCAAAAGCTAGTGTTATTTTTCTGTGGTCATCTGTAAGGTGGAGATTACTTGAACCCCCGACGGGCGCTCCAATTCGAGCGGGAAAGCCTCTGTGCTCACCTCTATTTTTATTATCCTGCAAATATGTATGTATATTTTCTGTTTCTTTTTTTCTAACAAAAATAAACAGTTAGTCACTTGAATGAGTGTGTTACTTCTTATTTTGCCTATAAAACAAAATTTATTTTTAGCAAAATCATCATTCAATTCAATACTTACAATCAGATCATTTAATGTAAGATCGGATATAAATCATCAAAAACATTAATCCCCGGCTTATAAGGCAAAATTTATCAGAAAATTTGTCCTTTGAAATAAATAAAGTCCAGAAAATAATAGATTGCCTTATTTAGATATCTTAAACCTTAAAACCACCGAGCTCCTAAATTGGCTTACTTTGAAAAGAGTCACTGACTAAGAAAATATGGGAAGAGAGTATTGAATATAAACTTCCATTCATCTTTAACACTTTGTTCTCGATCTATACCAATAAATTTTGTGTTATTATTTCGCTAGCCGATGATAAACGATGGCGATAATTAAGTTATAGCGGTTATAATATGATTAATGATTTCGAGAATCAAATTATGAGATTTATTCTTAAATTTATTGCATTTATTTAAGTACCTATTTGACTTTAATCTATAAATAAATGTTTTTACTAGGTGATGATATCTGCTTGAGATATTTATTTCAGGAAATTGCCAATGAGTTATGTTTAAAATATACTTGATTAAAAAAATATTTAAAAAGTCACTATAAATACTTAAACAATTCGGTCAAGTACGAATCGGATTCGCGTAACGAGGGTTCGGTACAAACGTTAACTTTTGTCGAGCAAAAAATTGTGCTTTTGATTTTTGATATTATAATAGACCATAATCTTTTGACTAAGGTAAAAGAGTTTTTTTTTACTGCTCCAAGTCATAACACACTAGTAAATCTATTGACAATCTATTAATGACAGCTGGATACCTCCACGCGTTCCAGACAAAAAATGATTTGTCTCTTTGCATACGTACGGAGACACGACAAAAAGGCTTCATTAAAAAATCGGACAAGTGCGTGTCGTGCCACGTGTATAGTACAAGTTCTGTAGTTACCACAATATATTTAATTAGAAAAACCAATAAATATATAGGCAGCGGACGGGACTTCAACGGGACGAGTAAACTTTTCTTTAGATTTTAACTAGATGTTAAAATCTAAAGAAAAGTTAAATGCTTAAAAATAAATAAAAACTTATCGATATTAATTTGTTTTTAATACCTATGAATACCGCTGATTTTTTGAAGGCGAGGAAGTGGGCGTGAAATACTCCACTGCCGGCTGCAAGGATATGTCAGAATCTTACTACCGAAAACACACTCGCAGTTCATGCTTATAGCCAGAAGGGCCTTAAAAGCTACATCAGAAGCGATTATCCCCTGGGAAGGGGATGATGTAGTGTAACCGCCGATCTTTTCAAGTTTATAAAAACGTAACGTTAGTGCGACTCAGAAGTCGTTGCCGTTAGTACTCGCAGTAGCGTCATGGAACTAATGATATTTTATTGTGGTTTTTAAATAGTTTATTTTTTTGCAATGCAAGGTTTTACGCTATAATAACTTCATCTATGTACTATAAATGTTTTCTTCTAGGATTTTTTTTTCAGGTTTTTCAAGCTAATAGTTTAGCTTTTAGAGGGGGGTCTCCCTACTCGAACAAATATTAGCACTTTAAAGTTCAATATTTCGCAAACGGATCCCTAAATCAAAAACTTCTCTTATAAACCCCTAACTAATTCTAAAGGACTTATTCAACGATATCCCACACGATGGGGTAGATTATGAAAAAATAAACCCCGGATTACATGCTATTCTACCCTACAAAAAAAATATTTTTCAAAATTGTAGTCTACCATTTTGCCGGAGTGATTAATATACATATCTCAACAAAATTTCAGCTCTCTAGTGCTAATAGTCTCCAAACAAAACTGGGGACGGACAGACGGACATAACGAAACTGTAAAGGTTCACGGAAGCCTAAAAAGATCCGATTATTTTCCTAAAAAGTACAGGATTTTAAAACAAGATTTAAATGAAAAAGTTACTTAATAGAGTTGGTCACGTCACTATTTCGTATAAAACGAATAAGAGATATCTTAAAAATAAAATCAATTGGTAAAATCTAAAGATTTAAAAAAAAATTGTCAATTGAAATAATTGAATTTAAGTGTCTTTCATCGGGACGCTCTAGAGTAGTATTCAAAGGGAGAAAGAACCTGATTAATATTGAAAAGTATTTCACTGAATAACTAATAAGACCTGGGGAGAAAGTTTTAGAATTTGTTAGCCTTAATTAGCAAGTTAAAACGCGAAAGAAGATTGTCATTGTATTACGGAAAGGGAAGGGTATTGATTGCTATAGGGTTTTAAAAAAGCTGGCCAAGCGCGAATCGTACTCACCCACAGACATAAATCAAAATAGATAAGGCAAGCATAATGTACTTCGCGTGCCAAATGCTTTTAAATTCTTAATTTATTTCTTCGTGTCACCCACCGTTCCCGATATCGGACATTAATTGTAATGTTAAAAATAACTATGTCATATTCTCGTCTGTAAAACGATATCATTCAAATAGGCGTTTCACTCATTTGGTCTCGTGTGTACTCAAATCTGACACACATCCGAGATAAACGGTCTTGACAGACAGACAGATAAACAGAGGGCTCCGTTTTTAGAGTTTCGTACCTCGAAAGGAAAAACAGAACCCTGAGGCATTGTCCTAATACAACGCGATAACGCGAATGAGCGATGCGATCATCGTACGAGTCGACGATCAAACATATTGATCTAGAATAGGTGTCCTAATAGGCGATCGCGCGATGCATTCGCGCGACTAAAATGTTTAAAAATCTATTCGCGCGATCTTAGTTCGCGCGAACGCGCAATCAAACTTATTAATGATAAATAGGTGTCCTAACTGAAGTTCGCGCGATGATCGCGTCGCGTCGATAGGAAGCGGGGAGAGGGGCAGGGCTAACCCGTTCCGTATTCGCGTTCTATTAGGACACCCAGTTCGCGATCACGCGATGGTCGCATCGTTTAAACGCGCGATGATCGCGTTATCGCGTTGTATTAGGACAATGCCTTATAGGATCACTTGGTTGTCCGTCCGTCCGTCCGTCTGCCAAGACCCTTTTTCTCATGACCGCGTGGAGGTATCAAGCTTATTTTTTTTACTTTATATCAAATACTCAGGTCTTCTGCCCCTAGGAGCTGTGAAAAAATCAAACTTCTAAGCCAACGCAAATAAAACATACAGCCGTTTATGCCGCAAATCTTCGAAACTCACAAGTCAAGCAAAAAAATGCGAACACCGTAAATATACCTACGGGTTTGTTTTTTTCCCTTTTGCGGCACAGAACCCTGAATTAGATATCAATAATTTTGCCAGATCTTTACTGTAGAAAAATTGTGAACGGCACCATCTACTACCCATTCTATACTCTTGTTGTTGCCTGAATTGTTTTCTAGCAATTGGACCACTGTTTGTACTCTTTATATTATACTCACCAAAAAAGTCTAAGCAACATGTTGTATGGTATTGAAGTTCTTAACGATTTTAGCTATTGTTATATATTTGAACTACACTATTATAAACACAATCGATAAGTTTCTATTTTTAAAGTCAACCAATCAAATTTACGATAACAATAAATAATTGTATGGTACCAAACTACTTTGCTAAGAAAAAAAATAAACGTTAATTAATAATACATACAGTTTCTGTAAATGCTGCATTTTTCGTAGACTTTTTTGATTTGTGTATTATCTAAAATAATTCATTAAAAAATACAATATTATTTCAAAACTACTTAACACTCATCATCATCATCATCATCAGCCGATTAATGTTCCCACTGCTGGGGCACAGGCCTTCCCTATGGATGGAATAGGGAGATTGGGCATGACCCACCACGCGGGCCCAGTGTGGATTGGCGGGTGCTAACGACTGCAGATACAGCCGGGACCAACGGCTTAACGTGCCTTCCGAAGCACGGAGGAACTCGAGATGGAATATTTTTGGTCACCCATACAATGACCGACCATTGCGAAAGTTGCTTAACTTCAACGATCGCAGTCGAACGCACTAGCCACCTGCTCCATCGAGCTCCTCAACTTTACACTAATCACCAGGAAATCATCATCAACAGAATCTTAAAATAATAGAGTTCATTCGTATATCAACAAGATGCATCATAAAATTCTCGAGTTGTCCGTACACGGCCTTGTATTCATTATAATATCCACAGGAAGGCATTTGCTCCATATCGCCAATTATGTAACTCTCAGATGTCAACTGAGAAATTTATAGCCGGTATATTGAGTCCATGTAAGTTGTCAGTGCTTTCGTGTACACGCATTTGTCATGAAGTTAAAAACGGTATCATATTGAGGGCATACATGATCAGTAGTAGGTCAGTGATTTAGAGCCAAACTTGCAAGTAATTTTCGTTATTAGTTGAGCAAATTCAAATAACTTCTTTCTTTAAAGAACAAAATTAATTACATGACTGCCCAAAAAGAGTGCTTTTAAGGTTCATGTACGTATGTATGAGTCGTAGGATGATTTCATATATTCTTTGGATAATAATTAGACAACGGAGATGACATTTCTCAATCTTACTGAAAAAAGATAGAATTATTGCGAAAACGCGAGTCGCCTTAGTGAGATTGCGAAAATAATAGTTAGCTTATTATAAATATTCTTTGTTGTTTTGATTCTTGGCTCCACACTAAATAGGGTTAGGTTAGTGTCGTGATCATGACGCGCGAGCCGAGCAAGCGTAGCGAGCGCCACGTTTTTCTACTTACCTATACCAATTTGTTTCAGTTAAATTTTCCACTAAATAGGCAAAAGTGTTGTTTTCTACCAATACCTAAGTAATGGTAGAGTCAAATGGGGGACAGTGTAACAAGGGGCATAGTTCCAAAGTATAAAACTGACATAAAATTAAGAACAGCAAGACTTGACTTGACTTGACTTGACTTGACTTGAATTTTATATTAACCACTGCTCTAATGTTGAATAATGTTATAAAGCATATCTCTCAACGCAATTCATTTATTATGTTAAAAGCTTTCGGGGCCTATTCAAATGGGAATATTGAAACCTATCGGTGCTGCTCATGAATAATCTTCAGTCCACATTTACTTGGGATGGATATGAGAATGGATGCCTCCTAAGTCCATCGCCCTTTTTGTGCAAAACACAGTACGTTGAAGCTTCTTGGAATAATGAGACGCGTGTTATCAAGGGTTCTTTGCGAGATGTGCGGATTTCTCGATAATTTTTGATCGTTTGGACATATTTATTATATCCACAAAATATTTTTTTCCCTCTTTCCTAAAGTTGGATTTTAAAGTGAAACTTTTATAACATCGCCACAAATTATTTCCGTCATGTCAAGGATGTCGCATTTAATTTTGAATAGTTATTAAAAAAAACTTGACACTAAGCATTGGTGGTTCAGTGAAAGAAAGCTCGCCTGGCACTCGGGCGGCATGGGTTTGAATCTCAGCCGAGGAAGGGATTTTTTTTTCATTTTCCACTTTTTATATGCCAGGGTAACATCAACTTACATAGTATGAAAAATTTGAAGCGCAGTAAAACACCTAAAATTTTCTTTTTCCATTTTTAATTAGATCCGACAAATTTTCACTTGCAACGTGGTTTTATGAAAACACCACAACAGTTTTATTTATGAATTCTCTTCACCCAACCTGATTTCCCGTATAGGTGGCGGTCTGAAGTTCCATACTTACTGACAAAAATGTAACATCACCAAAAATGTGTGATTTTATTATGATCTCCTATCAGATGGAATTTTACTTCACTAAAAGGATACTTAAAATCTCTTAGAATCCAGTATTACGTTATATAGCCATGGAACAGATCTCTTTTCTTTGATTTGTGATAATGTCGTCTTTGTCACACTATCCGTAAATGGAATGCTCTGCCCGCTCACGTGTTCCCTCCCTCTTACAACCTGGGATCCTTTAAAAGAGGCGTGAAGAAGCAACATGCAGGCCGGCAGGGTGAGGATGGCTGTTGTGGCAGGTGGAACTGCTGTATCAGCTATCTTCACATCTGGACTTCACCTTCACTTAACATGAGGTGGGATGGAGTAATTTGTCAGACCTATATATAAAAAAAGACAAAATACTAAATTGATACGTTCAAAAAAAGTTACCAAAAGAAAGCCAAAATAATTAAAAAACGATATCTATCCTATCGCAAAAGAAAGGGAAACAAAAGTTACAAAAATATAAATGTGATAAATAGTTCAAACATTGTTGCAGGGTTGAACTAAAGTAAGTAAAGCCTCGATGACACGAGGCGGACAAGCTTCAAGCCAGCGAGTTCGCTAGTAGCTTGTGAAATCGCTTCGTATCATCGAGTAGCAGATGGTAAAAAAGGCGCGGACATGACGAGTTTACAAGCTGCTTGTAAACTCGCTGGCTTGTAGCTTGTAAACGCGCCCCTTGTCATCGAGGCTTTAGGATGGTATTTTAGGACTGGGAATAAAAGCAGGGATCTCTGTATTGTAAACATATATTGGCATATTAAACATAGAAGCCAATATGCCTAAAAAATTTCTACTGTTTACTATGTCTCACTTATGAACTGTAATTATAAAGTACAGTAGTATAATTATAAACATATATATATTTGTTTCTTTTTGTTTTAGTTTGGAATTGAATACAACGAATTTATCACAGACAACGGTGTTCATAACAATAAGCCCGTGTACGAACGATTTCCATTGGAGTTTATACCATGGGAAAACACATAATCAAGGTAAATAAATATTTAAACTACCGACTACGTATATTAATTCCAAGACGTGAAGTATTACTCCAAGAAATTTCAATTATCCATCTTGCTTTATTGTTTGTTATTTTTCTTTTGTTCTAGGACCTCTTACGCTGCTGAAGAATTACGTTGGCGGAGAAATGAAGACTTTTTCAATATTTTCTGCTTTTCAAGACCGATACGTATTGCAGGTAAGGTTGCTTATTGAATTTGAATAGTGTTCTTGTATTGGAAGAATAATGATCTAATGTTTTTTCTGCATTTGTAAATCGGTTCGAATAAAACAAAAACTTGTGACAATTGTCACAATGGTCGTCTACCATGGCATACAAACAGATTCTATCAAGTGTTTCGTTGTTTTTAAGGAAATGACAATACAATTGTACTCAATCTATAATTTTATTTATCTAAATCAATCTTTTTAAACATTACGATCTAAAAAGTATATTGGGAACGGTAACGCGAAGAAATAAATTAGCGAAAATGAAGACCATTGGTCTACCTTTTGGCACGCGAAATATTTGGACCCTATGAATTTGGATGTCTATTCTCTGATGTCTTATTCTATTGTCATCGCAAAGAAAGCAAACACAAACTTTAGTCAAATTTCAATGTTAATTGTTTAATCAAAGCCAAGGGTAAAGTAACTGACATCTCTAAGTGCACCTTTAGGGCGCTTGTTAACGATCGGTTTTCCGCCGGGTCTAGGCACAGTTTTTACCTGGGCCGGTGGCGGCTAAGCTTGTTCGCGAGTACGGTTTGTACCGACCCCAAACCAGTGCTGCCAACCCGAATTTTGGAAAATTAGTAGATTATGTGCCAAATGTTGGTAGAAGTTGGTAGAATGTAAAATGCAAAATTGGTAGACCTACCACCGAAATTAAGAAGATTTTTTAAGATTAAAAATGCATGCAATACAATGCAGAGCACACTTCAGATCACACCTACATGATTTGCAATAAAAATATCCGTCACTCTTAGTAATTTCTTGAAGCCAACCTGCAAATTCCATGTCTTTCTCCCATAATTTCGAATATTTTTGGTCATAGTGCCTTTTTCTAGGCGGGCCCTTTAGTGGCGGAGTTCCTAACCTAGAACTATGTGCATCGCTTTCGCTGCTGTCAGAATCCATTATATAAATAAATGCACGCAAAATAGAACAAGCAGCAATCAGCACCGTTAATAAGCAGTTAATTAGTTTTTACAATAAAACAGGAGCAAAGATTCAACATTGATTCCGCAACAAACCAACCGGGAATATGCCACAGTAGGAATAGTAAAATAACGGGCACGAAATTGTGCGAACGCCGAACTCATAGCGAACTGTTGCTGACGTTTTTTTGTGGTTTATGGCCTGGATTCTATGTATGCTTGAGGCATCGTTGCATGCAATTCATCGCAACGTCGCTAGTCGATATAAAAATAATTCAAAGTGGTGATATGTCAAACTAATTAAAAAATAGGTAGTTTTTAGTTCTAGGGTGGTAGATAGGTAGACTGAAGTGAAAATTGGTAGATCTACCAAAAAGTTGGTAGATATGACAACACTGCCCCAAACCGTCGCTGACGGCGGTGTTGTTAACAAACCACTATCGTGCTTATCGTAGATTAAAACAAAAAGGTAAGATACGGTACGCTCATACTAGCTTCAAATAAAATATAATCCGACTCAACTACATAAGCAACTCTCACACACATACACGTCTGTAAATATCATTCAATCGAACGAGCGAGACAGAACTTTATGCTTCATCGCAGCGAGAGAGAAACGGCGAATCCGCTTCCGAGTGCAAACGGCTGAGCTGTATTATTAACCTTCACTTGATAACAAAATGGCGATTACGTAAATAACATTCACGACAAACCGTGATTTTTGAGAAAATAATTATTTTACAGTTTACGAATGAATGAGAAGTGTTGCCGAGGCATTTGTTTTTTGATTTTGAACTAAGTGTGTTCTTTATAAAAGCATCGAAGGTATTGGTTATTATATTCATTGGATATTAACGCCGATGATTTGTGTGAAGAAATTATGTCTTGTCAGCCATTTTTCAAAAAATTAAGTAATGATGTGGTGAAAATTCTTGAATTTATATATTTAAACAATTTGACAGCTGTATGCCCTAACATTACCATAGCATTACGAATTATGCTAACTATGCCAGTTACAGTAGCAAGCGCGGAAAGGTCCTTTTCTAAATTAAAACTTATAAAAAATTACCTGCGCTCTACAATGAGTCAGGAAAGATTAACTAATTTAGCAACAATATCCATAGAGGAGGCCATACTAGACCATATAGACATACATGAAACTATTAAGGATTTCGCAAACAAAAAAGCGAGAAAAGTGGAAACCTATAATTTAAGTAATGTTTGTATTCTTGCAAATGTTAAGACTCTTGTTGTTTTTTTAAAACATAACATAGGTAGGTAATAGTCATATTAGTATTATTATTCTTAGAAAAAAGTCAGCTTCTTTGTTATTCATATTTAAGTATTAAATTCTTTGTATTAATAAAGCATGTTAAAATTTTGTTCGAGTTTTATTTTTCGCAGTAATTGGCAAGCAGAAGCGAACGGGATTTACCTATTTAGTATCCTAATTCCTAAATGTTCCACAGTTTTGTACACTTAGATATTAATGATAATATTATCTAAGTACTGTAAAACTGGAGAACATTTATTTCAGTCAAAATTAACAATTAAAAATATTCATTCAAAAATTAAATTCGTTTTTTATGATATTTCGTTAAAAAAGAGGCGCTTCATAGGTTTCGCACACAGGCGCTGCCGGGGGTCGGCGCGGCCCTGCGAATGAGAAGTGTTGCCGAGGCATTTGTTTTTTGATTTTGAACTAAGTGTGTTCTTTATAAAAGCATCGAAGGTATTGTTTTTCTTTATAACACAGAATATACGCAATATTGTTATATTGAGTGTACATGCAGCATGTTTGGATGTCCAATTGTGGCTACAGCGAATTGTGATCGTGCACCACAATTTAAGGGGATCACTTTTGAGTCGCGAGTGCCGTATCTCCTTGTTTTAATCTAAGTGTCGCATAATTAACTGACGAACGGATGTAGACACGGTTTAAAACCGAGCCTTGACCCGGGTAGAAATCGCGTCCTTAGGCTGCGTCAATAAATAGGCTCTCATACCGTTTTCGTTGTAGATGTCGACGGTTCGCGGAGGCTCGGCTGCGGTCAGTGTGAGGGGTGAAGCGAACAAGCTGGTGCGACTACGACTGCACAATAGGTCGAGGCGGCGACTGGTGGCCAACTGGGATCCTAGGTGATTATTTTTATTTTGTGCTTTGAAATTAAGCGATATTGAAAAATTTCATTTCAGACAATGTTCTTCTGATTTTGTGTCACTGAAAGTACTTCAACCTATTCCTCCAACAAGTTGTGTTACGCAAGCATATGATCCTTGTACCCTACTAAGTACAAGAAGGAAAGACAATGTGTGTAAAATTCCAAATTCTCGAATAGCCCTATTGAAACATCATTATGATTTCATTTCTCCCCTTCTCTATAACAAAGTAAATAAAAGGCTTAACATTTACCCTCTTTCAAAGCATGAATGTAAGATCAAATTGAGCGGGTGGTTACTTGACCTGGAATATGACACTGTGGTGTTATTGATCAAGTAAAACATGCATATGCACACACATCTCTCTATCACACACACACTACATATACACATTCACTCATACACACACACATACACATAAACACACACACATGTCTGTAATGTGCCTGTCTTTTGAGGTGGGCGCTAATAACTCTAACACAGTCTTAGACTACTACGGTTGTTAACGCTAAATTGTTATATTGTATACGTCATGGTTCAGAAATAGCATAAAATTTTGTTGCCTTGTTTAAAACCCTTGAACCAAATGCAGCATTGCTCTGCAGTTAAGAAGTTTGTCCCATTTTATTAAACGTTTAATGTGACGACGCAGTGTTGTACATATCAATCACATAATTTATCACTCTTAATTACACTCATGATAACTTTTGAATGATTTAATTCTTAAGGTAATTTACAGGCACTGATATAGCTTTAACCTATTAATCCTAGTTGATAATTTTTATTCTTATTTCTTTTTTGTCTATAAGACTAGTAATAGAGACGAACTTCTTCACAATCCATAGATTCACCGTGCGGTTGCAGGGTCCATCGTGTGCGAGGGAGAAACTCTAAGCAGTTCCCGGGACTTGCAACCCAGGTGTAGGTTTAAGGAGGCCCCCTTATTATAGAGAGAAATGATTAGTAGGAAAAACTTAAACGAATAAACTTTTAATCTCCAGGACTGATTTAAAAAAAAAGACGGGTTGCACACCGCGAGTGCCGGTAGAAGTGAAAACTTGAATATTAACGTTGTGCATATTTGATATTTTGGAATGGTTAGGGAATAATTTTGCACGAATTGCTATAATTGTCAGTGTAAAAGTACTATCATGTATGTGGTAGAATACAATATTTATTTATTGCGCTATCGTACACAAACATGACAATTTATATTACATTAAAAGAGTTTATCTCTCAGACGAAATCAACTTACATGAATCACGTTTAACCGCACTTAGCGACATCTATTGTAAAGAAATCATCTTACATGAATCACATTTAAGCGCACCTAGCGACATCTATTGTAAAAAAATACGATAAAATAAAATATTACTATGTTTCGTCCTATATATTGAAAGTCAACAACCTTTCCAATTTTATTGTGTGTCATGATGCGATCGTGCGTGTTTAACCTGTTTAACCTGACGCGAGTTTAACATTTTTTACCCGTACAAAAAAAAAATTACAACGCCGCTAAAAATCGTAGTATGTACCATAACCACCTCAGACACTGTTTAGTAAATGATAAATTGTTGGCATCGCTACTAACCGTTTATTTGTTTAGTGTTTATTAGAAGTGAATAGTGATAGCGGTTGTTAGGTTATTTTTGGTTGATTAACTAAAATAAAATAAGAAAATTTGGTCAAACTATGTTTTATTTTGTTATTGAAATGAAATGAAATGTCATTTATTCAGTCTAGGCTGTCACAAGCACTTGTGAAGGTCAAGAAGCTACGCCATCGGTTCGTAAAACTACGGCGGGAGACCTTGTACTGAGAAGAACCGGCAAGAAACTCAGCAAGGGCTGTTTTTTTCTCCCTGTTATTGTTATATACAGAGTCGTCAAGTTGAAAAATGACTTCAGAGATACGTCGGAAGTCACCTTCCATTACATCATTATTATATGTATTAAACAAACATAATAAGCTGTCATAAGTTTGCACGTATGACAATACGTGTGCAAACTTCAGAATCATGTCACCTAACAGTGTAAAGGATTTGATCAAATCATTAGATTTTTTCAGAGATATGGTAAGACAGTTGTTCGTGACTTCATTTCCCGGTATTTCACAAAACACTCACTTATATCATTTTCCTGATCCATATACATTTTTGTAAGTAGCGAGCTGTTAGGAGTACAAAATTATTATTTATAAAAATTAACTATTTTTATAACTCAATAATGCTTTGATGTAAACTCACGTATTTCATTATTTAAATTACTTAATTGCAGCTTCCATTTTATGAATTCCTAAGTTTTGCAGCAATACTCAAGTGATTACAAATGTAAGTTAATCTTTTCATTTTTTTATTATTGACAACTTTAAACTTAATAAAATAAATAAATAATAATAAATAAATATTTCCAACACTCACACAAATTAGCCTAGCTCCAAAGTAAGCACTATAAGGCTTGTGTTGTGGGATACTATGGTAACGGATAGAATACATATACTGTACATATTATATAAGTATATTTATATAGAAATACATATAAAACATCCATGACTAGAGTACAAATGCTCGTATTCTTCACACAAGCATCTGCCCTCACGGGGATTTGAACCCGGGAATCTAGAATCGGCGACATCATGAAACCCGGCGTACAAATCACTCGGCCACGGAGGTCGTCAAATAATGTCATAACACGAGTCTTAAGAATCAATGCTAACTGTAATTACTCAATAAAAACAGTCGATACCTCGGCACAGATAGCCATAAAGTCCAGTTCATAAATCCGTTAAGTCACCGATAATCGCACGCGGCACATAATGAATTTATGATGCGGACTGTAAGATAGAAACTTCTTATAAGGCTGGTATGATGTATGGCTTTATATCACAACATTGTATGGACCTATGCGCGTGTCGCTTGTCGCCGTTTGATGCTGTACCAAGCTCGCAACGGATATTATGTTGTATTATGTATGGTCGGACTATACCGTTGAGTCACAAGAAATTCTCTAACTGTTGCTGATGTTGTAGTTTTTCAGAAGTTTATTGAGTTAGAAATAAAATTAGAAAATTAAAGTGATATCCAAGAATACATATAATTTTAAATAACTGAAATTTGTTAGAATGGAGAGTAACTTAGGTACAACTAGTATCTGTACGTTTTTGCAGTTATAAATGTTTCAATCGATTCACGTTTGCATAATACTAGCTTCATTGTCATAGTTTAATGTGTTTTATGCCTATAATATTGAAAAACTCGCTCAGAAGTGTGAAAATACACGACTATCCAAAATAGAAGCTAATAAGTAAAAAAATAAGTTTCAAACAAGGCAAAGGATCGTCTCTTTGGGACTTGTTTTATATTTTGTGCACTGAAATTAAACGATATTGAATAATAATATAATATGTTTTTATTTTTTAAGCATTTAACTGCTAGACGTTTAAATCATATCAATGATATTGAATTAAATTGCATTTCGGACAATGTTCTTCTGATTTTCGTTGTACCAAATGCACCATTCCTCTGCAGTTAAAAAGTTTGTCCCATTTTAATAAACGTTTAAAGTGACGACGCAATTTTGTACACATCCATCACATAATGTATCACTCTTAATTACACTCATGATAACTTTTGAATGATTTAATTCTTAAGGCAATTTAGAGGTACTGATAAAGTGATTAATTTCATCCTCAACAACCTATTAATGTCTCCACTACCGGGGCACTGACCTTCCCTATGGATGGAATATGGAGTTTTGCCGAGACCCACCACGTGTGCCCAGTGCGGATTGGTGGGTGCATACGACTGCAGTTGTAGCCGGGACCAGACATAACGGTATCGAGAACTTTTTATAGTTATTGATATCCTCTATCCTGAGATGGATAAGTAAACTCGTAGCCTAACCTAAAGTGGGTGCCGTGCCAGTATCCTGGTCACGGCACCAACTGTAAATAATATTGAGTGATCTTTGAGGAGCTCAATGGCGCGGGTGGTTAGCGTGTTCGGCTGTGATCGTTGAGGTTAAGCAACTTTCGCAGTGGTCGGTCCTTGGATGGGTGACCGAAAATCTTTTATCTGGAGTACCTCCGTGTTGGTCCCGGCTACATCTGCAGTCGCAAACACCCGCCAATCCACACTGGGCCCGCGTGGTGGGTAATGGTCCAAACTCCCTATTCCATCCATAGGCAAGGTCTGTGCCCCAGCAATAGGGACATTCATAGGCTGATGAGATATGGGCTTATCTAAAATGAGTCTTACCTTGTATCCCTAACTGTTTTCAAAATACTTTATAGCCTATGTTCATCAAGGATAATGTAGGAATCTAAATGTGAAAGAATTTCTCACATAGGTCATGGTAATGTCGGAGTCTGTTCAATACAAACAATCAAATCTTTCCTCTTTAAAATATTAGTTTAAAGATAAAGGTAGATCAATACAAAAAAATCTTCGGGACTTCTGATTAAAATCCTAAAATGACCGACCCCCTGAAGTGAAGACAAACGAATAAAATTAATTGTCAAATTACTTATCTCCATATACATTATTGATTGTATTTGTTTAGCATTCAAAGCTTTGTTTGTTTATCAGACAAAAAACTACTAGTAGAACGCTAACGCTAGCTATTAACTAGAACGCTACAATAGCTAAACTTCTTCCTGTGCTACAAACCTGTCATGCTGGCCTGGGAGCTGGAGAAAACAGAATGCTACGCAAATTATTAACTATCACTTACACTGTCCCATTATATTTCTCTCTGGTGTATCCTGCTTAGGAGAGGGCGATAATTTTATTTGTTATGTCTTTTAACAAATTACAAACATTTGTTAAAAGACATAACAAATAAAATTATCGCGTGGCGCTTTGTTCGCTCGGAACGCTAGCTTCGCTCGCTCGGCTTGCGCTTTGATTTTGTTAGTTCCAACCTCACTGAATACTCCTCACCGAAAAGCTTATATTACTTTTTCGCTTTATAAATGACTAGTGGCCCGCCCTCGCTTTGCTTCGGTGTAGAACTGTAGTGTAGACTATAGTTTTTGTTCAAAGGCTTGTATTATACACAATGACTTTCCTCATAATAATTATAAACCTTCCATTCCAAGTTTTTTTGTAATTTTTACACACGTTGGGTTACATTATCGAAGTTTTCATACGGAACCCTAACTTTTTTTTAAATATTCATTCAAATGTTGAAAGAATTTTTAAAATCGCTCCTGTACTTTTTGCGCCAATTCGTTACAAACATACTTACATACAAACCTTTCCTCTTAATAATATTAGTATAGAATACGTTTTAAACATTTGAGTATATTCCACTTAATATAAGTTCAATAAACAACGTATGTTCATTTTATGTAATTAAGTGAACCTATTACTTACATCATCGCAATGATGTTAATGCTTAAAATTTAAGAGAGCTGGGAAATGGCGGATTAACTTCTCGAATTAGAGCGCCCGTCTGGATAAGTCAACCACCTTCCACCTAATAAAAGATCACAGTAAAACACCCCTTTCCTTCAGAGGACCACGCGCGCTGGCCTTCGGTGTCACCGTCTAACTGTGGCCACAATTCCAACGCGTACAAAGAAATTTGGTGACTCATTTCTTTGTCGCACTATCCGTAAATGGAATGCTCTGCCTGCCCACGTGTTCCCTCCTTCTTCCAACCTGGGATCTTTTAAAAGAGGCGTAAGAAGCAACATGCAGGTCGACAAGGTGAGGATGGCTGGTGTGGCAGGTAGAACTGCTTTATCAGCTATTTTCACATCTGGACTTCACCATCACTTAACATCAGGTAGGGTGGAGTCATTTGTCGGACCTATCTATAAAAAAAAACACAACTTTTTGGTGGTGTTGTATTCCTGCCGGTGAGTAAGGTTCCAGGTCTCCACTGGGTAGGGGATTGGTTTAGGATAGGCAACACCTTGAGTGATATTTTTAGTATCACAAGCGTCTATAGGGTCTGGTGGCCGTTTACAATGAGGCGGGACTTACGCTTGCATGCCATTCTTTAAAACATAAAACAATGTTACGGTAACACAAACGTATAATTATATAACTCTGTTTATACTATCATATTGCTACCTATATGGTCCATCCATGTGAAAATAAAAAAAGTAATAAAAAAAAGTGATATGGATTTCGTATTAGCACTATAGCAGCATAGGTATTTTGTAGATGTTGTTTAATATTGAATATATTTTTCTCCTTTAATGCTTAAACTTGAAAGTAAACATTACTATCACAAAAAAGTTAGACATGCGTTCAACACGACTTAACTTTGTACGACGAAAAAAATCGTACAAAGTTTGACTGCACAAGGTTTGATACCTTATCTAATTTTTTTGTAGTAAGACATTACTATAATTATATTTTCTCCTTATTGATATTAGAACTGTTTCTATGCACAGGAACTTATCTGTATTCCGTAATGATAAATTTAAAAAATCTTTATTTCCTTTGTTTTCACGATTTCCAATCATTAAATGGAATACTTCTTTATTAAAGTACTTACTACTAAAATACAAAGATTCGAAATCTTTGCTAAAATATCACTAAAACTGAATTATAACTTAAAATAATGTTTATTTTTAATATATTTTCTGCGAATGTGGAACGGATGTCTACTACGTCATAGATCTTCTCACATTCTTAGACGGATCAAATACCGTTGACAGCATCGAGAAAAAGTGGCAAAGATTATAGAGTAACGGAAACCGAGGTTTACTGTACTTCAAAGACCTCGGCGGCAACTTTTTGCTTGGATATTGATATCTGGAATCTAGTGCGACGAACAGAAAAGGATCCTTATAAGATGCTTTAATGCTGAGAAAATACCATTTAAGTTCTGATTAAAATGAGGTTTAATCTAACGGTTTTATTGATAGGGTTGATAATAATTATTTTTCAAACATGCTTGGAAACGTGAACACTACCTAATAAACTCATATCTGTGTAATTTAAAAATGGAACGATCTATCACTCCGGAAAATGGCAACCAAAGAGGTAACTTATCAAAGGTTTTATTTAAATTTCGAACTGGACTTCGAAAAAAAAAGAATATTTATGAAAAAAACTCAAATGAAAACCTTAACACGAGAAAATTATTTATGTTCGCTGTTCGTCATTGGTTTTTCAGAATTTTGAAAGCTCTTAGGTACTACTTAGTTTTAATTTCCGCGCATCATATGGGAAAACATATAATGCGCACTATACAAGCCTTGGTCATGTATGTGTTGTTTATACATTCGTCCAACAATGCCTCTTTTGCTGGCCGCTGCAGTAATGTACTTATTATCTACGATTTATCAAGAAAGAAATATGTAATAGGTACTTATATTTATAAGGGTTTCTAACGCTTTAAATTAATATCTTTATATTTTGAAGCACACATGGTTGTTAACATATTCAAAGCAACTTTTAATATGTGTATTTAAATCTAAAGAAAATATTACTAGAAAAAAGATCCACGCGTGCCATGGAGCAGACGGGACTCAAACCGCATCCTCCACTATCCGGGCGGATGCACTGAACTTTTTCTATAGTCTATTCACTTTGACCTGAGACAAAATGTAAATAAAGAATCTGAGGTTCTAAAACTTTTATAATGCCAGAAAGTACCCATTAATCAATGATTACGTATAATTTATGTTACCTTTAATTTATTAGCAACTTTAAACAACAACAAATAAAACAAGAAAATAACAAGAATTTAACAAATATGTAGAATATGCACGCTCTCGTCAACAGGTTGATCGGGAGAGTAAAGATAGCTAACGTAAACCAACCGATTACAAAACACAACACTTCAACGTAAAATACTTAAATCATGTCTACTCTTAAAGTTTGTCGTATTATAATACGTCTTAAGTTTGGGAATGATTGTGTTATTTAGGTCTTTTTCCATGTCAACTTAAGTTGTTAAAATACTTTTATCAGCAACATAAAAATATACGATTTTATGATGAGCATGTACGTTAAATATGTGTGATATATTTTATTTTCTTATTCTTAAAAATGTACCAGCTTTTAAAATAATTAACTTAATCTTTCCCTGCATTTCCTATGTAAATAGTATTTAATCTTTACTTTTGTCAAACGTGACCTTAAAAATTATCCTTTTTATGGTTTGTTTACATTTTGTCTCATAACCATCCGCATAACAAGCAAAGGGTAAAATAAATTGAAAACGTACATGCTCTTAAAAAAATAAGAATTTAAAACCTTTCTTTTATAGTACCTAATAACAAATTTACTATGCGATAGGCATATTAATTGATGGAAGCTGCATCTTTACCCGTTTTTAATGACCGAACAATTAAACGAATGCCATCGATGGTATGTAACTAGAAGTGACAATAAAGGTATTTTCATACTGGACTCTGATAGGGTTGAACTAGCTTGAATAAAACTCGGAATAAAAAAAACGGACATGTGCTGTTCACACGCGATAGAAGTGAAACCTTTCCAAAAATTTATTGATCGATCCACCGATTATTTTGTGTCGACCCCAAGACCATTACCATTTGGCTATCTGTCTCTTGCAGAGAGTTACAAAATTACGGATACCTTGTGTGAAATACTGTCGTATTTTCGTTTCGTTGGTTTTTCGTTTCATCGAGTTTCAAATAAAAACGGTGCTAAAGAAGTTTTCACTTAAAAAATCTCTAAGAAATTTCGTTAGGCATCTGATTGTAGCAGTTAAAAGCTTCTATAAATATATTGTAGACCATGAACGTTTTATTAAAAAAACTAAATTAAAAGAAAGAAAGAGTGACAGAGAAATGATTTTGTTGCTGACAACACATAACATACACATAAAATACAAAAAATACATAAAGTAAAACAAAACGTACAAGTAAAGTTAACAACAACAAAAAACAAACTACAGATAGTAAATGTGTATTTTATGTGATGCCAACACTGGATATAGCTCAGCATACACAGCAGGTAAAGTAAATAAATTGAAACATTTGTTTTTCAACCGACGAAAAAAACGGAGGAGGCTATTATATCAGAGGGGCGTTTTCTGGATTATTTAAATTTTGAATTTCTATTAGTTTGAGAAATCTGAAAAAAATCATGATAAAAGTGCTTTACATGAACTTTAAAAAAAATTAAGGTAAGATCAGTTAGTTTAAGAGTAATAGTCATTCAACTGAGGTATTAGAGCATTTTTACCTAATAAAAAATTCTTAGAAGAACACATTAAAAGTGACTGAGATGAAGTATCGCGTAAAACCTTGAATTAAAAAACAAAATTAAAAACTTTAAAAAATTAAAGCAATGAAATATCCACGGAACCCTACACTGCGCATGGCAAGACACGCACTTAGTCGGTTACTATTGGATAGGGTATTCCTCGAAGTTGGTCCTAGATAAAATGCCAACCCAAGTAGTAAATAGGAACTCAGATCTATTAGACATGCATGGTACCTTGTTAATACGTTCATTTGTTTTTTTTTTTTGATCGGTTCGAAATTTAAATAAAACCTTTAATAATTTAGATAGGTACTCTTTTCTTGCCATATTCCAAAAAAAAGATCATTCCATTTTTAAATTACACGACAGTTATCAGTTTACTGTGTTATTTTATTGGCGGCTAAACCACGACAGATATGGATTTTCATACAACCTTTGACAGCTGCTCCTTGCATATATTTCGCCAGTACAGCCATTTCGATGTATCTCGAAGAAGGTTTTCAAAATAATGCCCAAATTGCCAAGCATGTTTGAGATAATTATGATAACGACTATTTTTTATTTGTTGACAGCCCTATCGACCCGCAGTCAACCACATATTGTGTCGTAGCGTCCCATAAGAAGAACTACACTTCTCTATGCGCCGCACAATGCGACTCGAAAGCAAATAGACTAGAGAACTTGTCATTCGAGCGATCAATCAAAAAGGACCAATCGGACGATAATAATCGGTCCAGGATCGATTGCTCTGACGCGGAGGTCGACAACAAGATTGAAGTGGACCCGCTGAGGGTGTTCGATGCTAGCTACAAAACTCTTGTCAAGAAGAGAAAATTCGGTAAGTAAACCAACTTATTTTTTTGCAACTTTCTCATGCCAGTGCGATATCTTAAAATGTGCAAAACCTCTAATCGGATGGAGAAATTTGAGTCTTGGATGGATGACTTGCCTTATAATAAGTTTTTTTTTAATATATTGCCTTAATAAGTTAATAATAAGTTTTTTTTTAATATATATTTTATTAGCGTAATAAGCAATAGTGAATTTTCTTAATTTTCATAGCATTAAAAAACAGAGGTTAGTAACAATGCTATTTACACGTCAGGGACAAGCTTAATCAGGTTAATCGTTTTTTTATTATGAATTATTTGTGTAATATTTTTATAACACACACCTTGCATATTGTAGCGAAAGAAAACAGGCCCTAGAGCAACCATGCTTTTGCTCCCTTGCGCCCTTATTCCCTTGCGCCCTTACTCCCTTGCGCTCTTACTCCCTTACGCCATTGCTCCCTAGCGCTCTTGCTCCCTTTCTCCCTTACGCCCTTGGTCTTGCTGCCTGGTACGTCACTGGCGAGTCTAGGCGTCAGATAGCAAGGGCGTCAATAATTCCAAATGCGAAATACCTTAAGACAAATATCCGTTCTACTTTCATCAAGAACTAAGGTCAAATACGTCTCATAATTTGTTATACTATGTATGTTTAACTCACAACCATTTTCTGAACTCGTAAACGCCTCGATTTTAATCTTACCAAAATCTGTGGAATATCTTTTCTTTTTGTCGAACTGTTAAAGAAACTTGATAAGTCTATAAAAACTTAAAAAATTGTTGAAGCGCTCTGTACCGGGAAGTTTTACTTTAACAAATTATTATTTAAAACTTTAAGTTAACGAGACTGTGGTTTATCTAGTACTGGAATCCTTTTCAAATTATTTGAACAATTCACATATTATTCAAAATGTTAAGTCAACAATTTCAGATTTCAGTGCTCATCTAACCACATTATACTGGGGCGATTCCTAAATCTAACTAAACATTGCCTATACTTAGCTGTAATAAAGTTTAATAACAACCGAATAAGTTGCCCACAAAATCTACTCATTCATTAAAATAATGTTTCCAGAAAAACAAATATCAACGAAACCTATTTATTCTATATTCGAGTTTACAAAACTTTTATTAAAGGGCTCCCTTGTTGCGCATTCATACGTAAAAGCGCCGCAAACATTATGCAAACCGTTCCGTGGAATAGTACTTATTATCTGTTGTACCCATAGATATATGAATGTGTTAGATAGGAAGGTAATGATGACACTTGTGACGGAACTTTATCGACAGTTCTCATAATAGCGAGATTCTTCGTCCAAGATTCTGGTTCTATATTCATACAAATCTTTTTCTGGTATAGTTCCTTCCACTAGACAGAAAACAACAGTGAAATAACCTTACCTTTTGGTGGTATTCTGTTTTGGTCGGTGATTAAGATTCTAGGGTTCCGCGAGGCCTACCCCGTAAATCTCAAAAGCAGTCTATATAAATGTTAACCAAGTGCAGACCAAAACCAACGTATAGACAGCATAATTGTCTTGTTTTGTAATCGCTCGAAGTCGCTTGTCTTATTTGCCGAGTCAAGGGAAGCGCCAACGTGTATTGACCTCGTTTGGCGTCGCTTGTTAGCACTTACCGTCACTCGCCAACACTTGTCTCAATTCGTCCATATTAACTGTAGTGCACCAAACGTACGAGCAGCTCCATAAAGCTCGTCTATATTGGTCACTTGCATTGGTCTTCCGTTGTTTTAATCTCGGCCAACATTATTGACGGCTTTAGATTTAAGGTGGACAATGCGCTAATAGTTATTTCTGGCATCCCAAGTGTCTACAGCTACCATGACAGCCACTTATCACCAGGCAAGTAATATGCCTATTCGCCGTCCTTACATAAAAATATGGTTTCACGTGGGACTTGAAACCGCGACTTTTGCTTAAGGACGACCGTCTCTTCCTACTGCATTAACTATTTGTTTTGCTGACGCTTATAGCCAGTGTGTTTTTCCATCTATTTAACTGTTTAAACATATTTTCTTAATGTATTTCCATTTGTTTTGTAAATCTATGTTTCCAAGTACCCGGGCCACTTCATTTGTTTCACGAATAGAAAACCAACAAATGTAGCCGCGGATTATTTTGGAAATATTCAGAAATATATACTTATAATTTTTATTATTTTTAAAGCATGTAACTGCTTGATGTTTATGATATATACTTATGTTTGAGATCTGTGACTTTATTTTGGTCAAAATTAGAATACTATCTATTACATAATAAGTAAAATCATAAACTTAGATATAAGCCAACTTTTATTACAAGGGTATTATTAGGTTCGGTTCGAGTCCATCACCCTGGTAACCTCAGGCAAATTATTAAAATTTTTCGCTTGTTTTTCTCTCATCAAAAAAAAATGTATGTAAGTAACTACTTATAACGTAAATTATATGGTTATAAGGTGTTTCTTTGCCTTTGCAGCCAACAATGTTGTGAATGCTATAATAACTTATCATGTAATTTAATTTTCAACATTGTATACAAAGCGATTACTATAATATTACTTGTGCAAAGTAATTTTACATTAATTTTCGATTCAATCTTTGCATACTAGTAGAGATGGTAGAACCTACATTAGATTATAAATGAACGAGAGGAGCCGACAACTATTGGACATTTTCTTGCTCAAGAAACGCACAATACATATACATTCCGTGTAAATAAAAGAGACTCATATAATAATAATTGATCACTAACTGTTCACAGGACTACACATAGATAGGCGCCTTACCTGGAAAGAACACATTAAGAAAAAAAGAGAGGAACTTAACATCCACAACAAGCGACTTTTGTGGCTATTAGGCCGCAACAGCAAATTGTCAATAGATAACAAGTTATTGATATATAAAACTATCCTTAGACTACAGTGGACCTATGGCATACAACTCTGGGGTACTGCTAGCAATTCCAACATCCTTTGCATTCAGAGAGCCCAAAATATGATCCTTCGAACTATTAGCGATGCGCCATGGTATATCACTAATAATGAAATTCACGAACACCTAGAAATGTCAACAGTCAAGGAAGAAATAACCATTGCGACTCAGAAATATCGGGCTAGGCTGGAGACTCACCCGAACCTACTAGCAACACAACTCATGACTCGGAGTTATAACAAATGACTCAAAAGGAAAGACGTCCTATAAAGAGAATTAAGGAGGAGATGTCCTTACTGAAGGACACACTCTGACACCCCAATGTTCATCCAACACATTTGCTTATAGTGGCACGCACTGATCGCAAATCACAATTAAACAAAAAAAAAACTGTTCACACCACAAAACACAGAAAAAGGATAGAAAGGCCTTGTGGACGGGGCAGGCACGCCACAGTTATGTGCGAGCAAATGCTCATAACTTGACCAAAACATGGTTCCGCTTGCGTCGTTGCTCTCGGGTGTGAGCGCTGATGGGTTCGATTGCTTGATGTCGCGTCGTTTGATTGGCTATTATCTATTACGTGGAAGTGTTGTGGGGTCGAGGCGCCGTCATCTGTACTGTACCCGTACAAACGGTCTATGATAACCCTTCTACCCTCTTTCTATGTTCTGTGGTTCACACTGCCGGCGAGAACTCGCTCCACCATGCATCTCTTATGTTTACACAGAATGTATATTATCTATCGTTTGTTTGTTGAGCGAGAAAATAGCCGATAGTGAGCAATTCGGATCATATTTCTCTTCTACTTAGAAATGATAAATATCCTGGCTTCAATGTATTTTAAATTATCGAGCTTTTCGCTTGTTTCCCTTTAATTGTTACTCGCTATTCGCTATCAAGTTACAATGTACCGTGCTGACTCAGGTAACCATAACGTATTTTCTAACATAAACTTATTTATTTTTTAATCGTGCCGTTACTTATACCAGTATTATGGTATCTCAGGGTGGCCAGGTCTCCCGATTTTACATTAGATATCCTGTTTTTCTCAAAAAGACTCCTGTTCTACTGTTTCTCAAAATAAATAAATAATAATAATAAATAATATAAACAATTCTATTATGGGTTGCCTGGAAGAGATTGCTGCCTGCAATAAGGCCGCCTATATTGTGTACGTTCTATCTATCATGTTTTTTTTAATTTACTTGTGTTTTCTTGTATGGTGTATTACAATAAAAAATATTATTATTCTCTCATTTATTTAATTTCACAAGTTAGGTTTTTTATAAAATAGATATAAAAGTAAAATACAAACACGTAAATACAAAAATAAATATAGTATAAAAAACCTAACCTAGAAGGTCACCAGCAGCGGAGCGAGGCCCAAGCTACCGGTGGTTAGGGCCGCAGAGAAAGAAACCGCCTGACGATGCGCGCCGTGTCCAGGAGTACTGCCTTTTGCATTATTATATTATTATTATTATTAAATAAATATTTCCAAAACACACCAATTAGCTTAGCCCCAAAGTAAGCACTGTTTATGTGATACCAGGGTAACGGATAGAATACATAATACTGTACATACATAAGCATATTTAAATAGAAATACATATTAAACATCCATGACTGGAGTACAAATGCTTGTAATCATCACACAAACATCTGCCCCCACCGGGATTCGAACCCGGGACCTCTCGAGTCGGCAACACCATGAAACCCGGCGTACGAACCACTCGGCCACGGAGGTCGTCTTATCTACTATTTTATTGGAATACGATTTATTTTTAATTGCGTGAAATATAACGTAAAATGCGTCACTCGAGCCACAAAAAAATAACAAAAACGAGCTTTAAGGGGTGAAAGAATCCGTATTGCTGGATATATTTAACCAATTCTAGGGTGCAATAGGGTGCAAATAGGTCAAAAAAATACGCCCCTGCGTCTACGTCTTTTTTTCTTGCAGCTCTTTTCATACATCTACTGTTTTTTCCTGTAGCTAGCTATACCAATTTTATTGAGGAGCTCGATGGCGCAACTGGTTAGCGCGTTCGGCTGCGATCGTTGAAGTTAAGCAACTTTCGCAGTGGTCGGTCATTGGATGGGTGACCAAAAATTTACCGTTGGTTCCGGTTGCATCCGCAGTCCTTAGCAGCCACCAATCCGCACTGGGCGCGCGTGGTGGGTCATGGCCCAATCTCCCTATTCCATCCATAGGGAAGGCCTGTGCCCCAGCAGTGGGGACATTAATAGGCTGATGATGATGATGATACCAACTTATAAAAATCTGACTTGGCGACACTGTATCCCAAACTTTCATTAGCTCTGTCATCGCTCCAAGGGACAAGTAATGGGAAACTGTATCCATCATATAATTAATACCTTTTAAAATTCAGGTCGCAGTACCAAAGCAAGTGACGTGGATCCTGTCATAGCGTGCGTTGGTGAGAGGACCCATCATCTCATTGAAAATTTGGATCCAGCTAAGGTATTTTGTGTCTATTATCTGTCTGTATTACTAATTAATATTACCTTTGTTTTGATTAATCAGCTACAATTAAAAGTCTATCGACGGACAGAAGGATGTTTTCAATATATAGCAGACTTCAGTGCGTTTGCTTGGGAAGTGTTCTTTTGTATGTACCTTTACACATTATTCGAAAAGTGACACTTTTCTGCACGTGTGTGAAAAAGTATTTATTTTAATTTTTGGGCACACTTCAATGCATTGGCTCGGAAAGTGTTCCTTTATAATGTATATGTTATGGGCGAAGTGATTAATCGGGCATTATTCATAATGCGCGGGCAATATGAATAATGCTCAATAAGAGCGGTCAATGTGATTATTACCAATCAATTTAAAACATTGCCCGGGCATTATGAATAATGCCAAGTGCCTATTGGGCAGAGTGATGTAAAGCATTTTTAATACTTTCAAATGAATACTTAGTTAGGTAGACTGAGCATTACAAGTAATGAAATAAATTATCGGGTAGAGTAATAATAAAAACATGTTTTATAGTTTAGTATTTATTTTTAAAATTGAAATAATCAGACTTCGGTTTTACTTCGGTCAATTTACGAAGGGCTACATTTAGAAACTATAGTCTATAGTAGTTTCAATGCAGTTTGTTTGAAAAAATCTTTAAATCTGTTAAATGTTCAGAATTTATGGTTCCCTATTTTTCGGATGCAAGGACTAGGGAAGTAAGAACCAGTACTTCTGCCTTATCTCCGGCGCTGTGGGAATAACAGCCCCTCCGCCTTTGCATGAAAAAGTCACAAGCATCACTCGCCTTCACACCTTCGGCTTGTGCGGGCTACTACGGGTCCTACGGGTCGCACGCTGCTTGCGGCTTTGTCACAGCAGGCAGGGGCTTCCCTCCCCCGCCTCCGGGCTCTAAAAACACTCTAGAGGTAGGGTAGACCAAGACCATGGCATGTCGGGGTTGACCTAGTTGGTTCTAAATTAAAGACTGTTGTAAAGCCACATTTAGTTTTTTTTTGTAGCTCGAAATATCGTGTTCGTGATGGGTGTCTATGTGTGCATTGCTCGAGTGCACTTTGAATTTAGATTACTTTCTGTACTATCTATTTTGTTCTTAAACTGACCTCCATCCTCAAACCCTCTATATTGTTGATCGTCTAGACACACTGGGCCTGATTCACCTGTTAAACTTATTCATTGCGGGAACTGACTAAAGTGTAATTTGGTAACTGGGAGAGCAATCTCCAACTTAAAGAACACTAAAGTAATTTATGTTATTTACGGGATTGTTACCTTGAACCTTGTTTTTTAGCGAATCTCCGGTATATCGGCACAGTTGCAAGCGACATGATCACGGAGTTACTCCTTGCGCTTCAACATCATGGCGCTTGCAACAGTGCCGAAATATCGGGAGCTCGCTAAAAACAAGGTATATGGTAACAAGCCCGTATATAATATAAATTACAGGCAGTCCTCGACTTACGTCGTTGCGATTTACGTCGTTTCAAGTTACGTCAAACAATGTTTTGATACTATTCCTCAAGCATACGTCAATTGTTTCGATTTCTGGCATAGGAGAATTCACTTGTCGCGAAGTCAATGTCCGTGGGGCCAACGTCCGTGGGGATGTCTCGACTTACGTCGCGTATTTCGAGGACCTAACATGCCGTAAGTACGAGGACTGCCTGTACTGTAATGTTAGTGACCATGACAATTTAAAACGATTTACAGTACACTGCAATATTCTATAAGATGGAGATTGCTTCTCCAGTAGGGCGCTATAATTAAGCATTCCTCGCTTCAGGAAGAAAACTCTCAAACGTAAAATCGAAAAGATGTACCTACCCTAGGCACCTCGAGAATAATTTCATGCTTGTTTCACTTTAGTGAAACTTTCATTTCATCGCTACAATTTTTTTTTCCTTCATTTTTAGCGTGTGTCGCATATACTTTTTTTATTGTTAAACTTTAACTAAACTTTTTTCATTTTGACGACCTCCTTGGCCGATTGGTTTGTACGCCGGGTTTCATGGTGTCGCCGACTCCCGGTTCGAATCCCGGTGGGAGCAGATATTTGTGTAATGAATACGAGCATTTGTACTCCAGTCATGGATGTTTAATATGTATTTCTATATAAATATACTTACTTATGTACAATATATGTATTCTATCCGTTACACTAGTATCCCATAACACAAGCCTTACAGTGCTTACTTTGGGGCTAGGCTAATTGGTGTGAGTGTTGGTAATATTAATTGTTTTTAAAAAAATCAGACTTAATCAACGTGCATCGGTGGGGCAGTATTATGAAGCTCGCCTTCAACGCGGATGGACCGGGTTCGAGTCCCAGCCAAGAAAGGACTTTTTTTATTAATGATTTTAAAAGTTTTACTTGCATCGTGCTTTCATAAAATCACACCAATTTTTATACATCTTGCATATTGGCCTATCGCAACCGTACACGGAAATGGAATATTTAATACTTCATTAAGTCACGTGTCGTCGCATCCTAAAGTTATTGCAAAGAAAGTGACAGCATCAACTTTAAATTTTAATCAAACATAAAAATGAATGGACTACTTTGAGTGTGATTGATGGTATCGTATATCTACGACCAGCGTTAAAAGTTTTTTTTTTGCCAAGTCGGGATTTAGGAACTTTTTGAAAAAAGCGGGATTCTTTCGTCGAAAGCGGGACGTAGTAAAGAAAACGTATATAATCAAAAGTTTATGAATATTTATCTTTTATTTGAGTTCAAATAACGTTTACGTTACGTTACATAATAGATAGATAGGTACCTAGTAAAAATATCCATAGAAAATGATTTTTTTTTAAAAAATATGATATTTTAAATCAGATTTACCCTGTCGTTAAATCCTTAGTTGAGTCTTTATTGAGAGTTCTTCATTACGCGCCGGGCAGGTGGCCAATCCACACATGTCTGTGCCACCCGCCCGGCCCTTGCTTTCTCAGTACGGTGCACGATTGAGTCTGTCCCGCGCGGGATATTAAATTTTGATTTAAAAATCGGGACATCCCGCCAAAATCCGGACGTCTGGCAACGCTGTCTATTACCTCGTTTACATGCAGCGCGAGTAAGGAGGGAAGTGGGCAGGGAAGTGGGCATGACGAGTATGTAAACACGATATTCGTCATGCCACTGCCATTGCCACTCGTGCTGCCCGGCGCTCTCCAAAAGAGCGGTTTTTTGTGCGGAAGTCAAAGGACCGGCAGCGCGAGTGGCAATGCGTGTTCACACTCTGCGCGTCGCTTAGTTCGCGCCACTAACAAAGCTATTATTATGGATAGATAACATCCACCATCTTCTACGACGAACTTTCTTTTTTTGTACTTAATATATTTTTAAATTTCGAACATAATTATGGATTGCAAAAAGACACAGCGCGGCCGCTGTAATTACTTCGACGTCTGCCATTGCCGAAACTCTGAAGCGAAGTGAGAGGAAGGGCAGTATGTAAACACATACTTCTCTCAATCATGCCGCAGCAATATTTAGGGAATTATTGCCGGCAACGTGAGGGGCAGCGGCATGGGCATAGTCTAAACGAGGTATAAGACCCTCAGTCGATCCTACAAGACGGAGATAAAGCGAGAAGTCATATTTTAATACCTACATAGGACTCCAAAAGGAGTTCCATTAATTACATCGAAAAAAGTCGCTACGTGACCCTTCGCAAATTACTCAGATTCGTAGAGTCTCCAATTCAAAAAGTGATTACTTTCTTTGATTATCTTGATGTAGGTAGGTAAGTACTACGTCAGCGAAATAAGCATTTAATGCAACAATTTCTTGGGACGAAAATGAAAGACTTGACGACGGACGCGGCATTAATGTGACCTTTCTCGCAAATTACGAAGATTAGTAGCAGGGTTGCTTCCGAATGACGAAAATATTTTTTTAAAATGTGAAAACATAATAATAAAATACTGTTATCTCTTTAACATCTAGATGTACTACGTCAGCGTGTTCGGTGTTGCCAGTGACCGACAGTCAGGTAGCTTACTGGCAACCAGCGCAGTTCTTCCGCGCACTTCCACTACGAAAAGACTGAAAGAAAATGTGTCCCAAAGAGCTGAAATAAAAGGACGAGCTGTTTATTATTTCAAGGTACCTATTTGTTACTTTTTTGTGAGTGTTTACTTTTAACTTCAGATATCATTTGCAATACCACCGCAAAGTAGCTACTGTTGTCTAGGTTCTTGGAGGAATCTTGTGGAGTTATAGTTTGTATCTATCACTGTGTTATTCTCGTAATAACTTACATAATTTCAATAAATATCTATAAGTATGGGAAATCCCTTATTATAGACGATATAAGGAATAAGACTTATTAAAGTTCAACTAATTCATAATCCGGGATTCAGTCTAGCTAAGAAATTTCGTGTCTCGTTTAAAACTGTAAAGGTGATCGCACATATGTACGGACCTTACGTGCCACGCGGAATGTGTAATGTGCAAGTTGCGGATATGTGCGATTACCTTTAATACCTACTTTATGTTATTCATTATTTTAAGTAACCAAATTATCTAGTAAATCTTAACTTAATTTTGGGATAAAAATTTTCGACGTGTTATTGAAACTGCTACCTATAATAACTGCATAAATCATTTAGTTTTGACATTTTGAAGTTTTCTTTATTCTTTTCATAAATGATGATTGTTAAATAATGTTTAGGCCACCGTTGGCGCTGGGGGTGGTCTCTGGTTGGTTATATTAACATGCGGCGGAGCAGTGGATGTCGAAGTTTTGGTACGAGGAAAAAGATTGCATCTAGTGAAGAATGTTGGTAAGTTCGGCGCATTGTGGACTAAGGTCTTCCACATCAAACTACGATGCGATATGACGTCGCATTGCAGAAACTTGCGATGCAAATTGCTGCGATGCGATTTCGTGTTGCAAAGCTTTGGCTAAAGTGACTATACCATCAACGGTAGTCAGCCGTATTGGGCGTATTCTAGTCTTAATAGTGACATGGATCGCAAAAATATTGTTGCACTACTGTTAATGTTAAATAGATGTAGAAGAAAAAGAAGATTATGGGTTCATCCATTTATTACGATTATAAAAGTTGATGGGAACTATTTAACTCGAAAATACTATAGTGTGAGGACAGAAGAAGAATTATTTTTTGTTATTTTAGAATGAGCATCTTCATTTGAAGAGCTTTTAAGTTTATTATGACCATGTCTACGAAATGATCGTACACGAGAAGTTTTAGAGTGGACTAAAATGGTGTCAGCAAGTGAGACGTAATATCGCAGTAATACATGATGTGAACCAGATCGGGAGTTCTTGCGATGCATTTGAGCGAGCTCGCGGATATTTGCGATGCTATGCGAATTCGCAGTTTTGTGTGTGAGCACTAAACTAAACATATTTTTATGTAAATTAGAAAACTTATGAGGTGGGAGAATTGAACCAATTTCTTTTTATCAATTAGATATAGATCAATTCGTTCATTGGTCACATGCGAAATAATATTGTTGTGATTGGTGTCTCGCATGTGATCAATGAATGGATTGACGTTTTGTTAAAAGATCCACCCACCGGTGGGGTAGGTGGGAGGGTTGAACCATCTTTTCCGCAACCGCAAGTCTCCCGGTTTTCCGCTACTATAACTTATATAATGGTACAAACTTTGTGTCCGAGCGTTTTATTTGTTCATATTAAGGTATAATTAATGTCTTATGTTTCCATTAGAGTCTCATTCAAAGTTCTTCGTGCCGGCTCCGATACTCAACTCCTCGATTCAGGACATCAGCAAAGAAAGTTCGATCCAATTCGATTCTAGTTCCGAAGAAACCAGAATCAGATACGTCATTAAAGTGACTCCTAGCAAACGGGACAAAGATCGGAGTATAAATGTGGAGGTAAATGCATAATGCTAAATAAACTACGTAACCACCATCACGAGCATTAAGAAATATTCTTTGATTTATTTATACGCCTAGATAGAGAAATCCAAAGAATGTTCCGTGAAATATGTGTGTGTCTAATGTCAAATTGTATTATACAGTCAATATGTGCTTGTGTAGCGGCTACCATATGTAGTAGATATTCCGTTTGAGAGCTTTTGTTGCGTGCGCTGCGTAAACGGATAATGTTAAACAAAGATCATGTCTTTGTGCCTTCCCAGGTGTCGCGATTTAAGCGCGACATACAAGCGCATTGCGTTCTTCGTTGCGCGATCATAACGCCGAGTAAGAAAAATCCATTCAGAGTCTTGATAAATGAACATAAATACGAGTCTGAATTGCGCGCACAAATCGTGTCATCCGGCAAGGCAATTTGATAGTTCTAAACAAATCCGCGACAGCAAATGTCTATCTTTAAGGGCAATTGACACCGGAATGGCAGCAGCCGACAGCAAGACGTGCCGAAAACTTTCTTGCTAAAAACGGTGTATAATAATTTTAAGCTTTATATACATTGGAGGCGCCTAAACCCCCATAACTTTGGGTTGCAGGAAAATAATAATCATGCGTGCTCAATACTTATATGGAGAGGCTATAGGCGTGGGTTAAAAGTGGACTGTATCTGGGGGGCAGTAATACACGATCATAAATGAGTAAAAATACAAAATGAACTGTGCCTTTCAAGTGCCTTGTCTCTATTTAGGAAGAAGAAAATGGTTGCAGACCTAGAGACAAAAGAAGGTGATGAACATGTGCACTTACCTCAGCACTTTTTTCCTAACTTTATTGTATTTTTTCAGATAGCTGCATCAACAACAAGATGGGGCATCAACTTACCCGAGCTGCCAGAAGATGGGTCGATTGTAAGAGAATTGCGTCCCAAGAAATCTTGTAGATCTTTAGATATTGCATTTCTACCAGCAACACATAATGCTACAAATGCAATAAGGTATTTATATAATTCTTTATAAAAAATTCAGTAATTTTACCTTAAAAAGGTATGAAATATAAGCGAAAAAAACAATAAGTATTAATTATAACTCGCGCCAATCACACTAATATTATAAAAGTGGAAGTTTGTGAGTTTGTATGTTTGTTAATTCTTCACGTCTAAACGGCTGGAGCGATTTTAACAAAATTTGGTATGGAGTTAGCCGACACCTTAGATTAATACATAGGCTACGTTTTAGTGTGGAAAAATATCCCTGATAAACTGCTGGTAACACCGTGGGGCACAGCTAGTAAAAAATAAATAGCAATTAACGACGTAAGACAGTCCCTCTCCCACATGCTATCCTAAATAACGTGCGAGAGTGACAAAATGTCTTGCATAGACATTTTCGGTTAGTTTCTTTAATACCTTGAGTGATACTTGAATTTTCATGTTAAATAATTTAGAGGCAAATTTTTAATGATAATTTTTTTTAGGTATTGCATCATAGCTCGGGAAATCGTTAATGGTGAAAATTTGGCGTGCGCAACATCAAAGAAGTATACAGCGCGAAGTCAATGCTTTAACAGTTTTACTTATCCAGCGTAAGTTTTTTTTATTATTATTAGGTAGATATTAGCTTAAAAGCTAGCCTTTAGGTTTCCGTCCGTCCGTTTTTTCAAATCGATAACAACTTCTTAATCCTTTCAGCGTCGGAATATTTTTATATGTTTTCCTGTAAACAGTCATAAAAGACATATGATCAGGCAGGCCATACGTTTGTGTGCCTTAAACTACAAACTTACATAATAGGGATGATGACTATTTTTTTTCTTCGTTTATCAGGTAGATTATAAAAAAGTATTGGACTCGTATTTTTTCTTTTTTCACATAAAATAAACACTGCAGAGATATATTGATTCGAAAAGTCGCATGACGTCACGCTTTGGTACAATTTTCACTTAAAAGTGGCGTCACGAGCCCCTTCTCCCAAACTTTGACGCGCTATGACTTTGTCATTTTTTGGGTGATTGCCCAAAGAAAAATCGTGTCCTGTATTTTTTGATCATCTAACTGACGGACCAATTATAGAATTTCGTTTACTGTAACCTGTCATCAATAGTAATAATAATAGGGGTATTATGTACATACGATCGAACAAATTGATTCCTGACCCACATATCTAATAATTCGCGTAAAATATCAAAGATGATAAGTTTTCCCTTGTAAAGAATGCGTAATTGCACTTAGGGCCTTCTTATAACAAGGAAACTGTGTTTTGAAATTTTACCTTTATTTTCTCACTAATCGGCCATATGCGAGGCGAGGCGATTACGTTACGATTCCGATTAGTGCGCCTTACAGTAGGGAGTTTCATACAAATAATACTGAACGGCTCGTGTTGAAGCGGTGACTATCCCTTACGAGTTGATATGTCTGCTACGACCTTTATCTCGGACCCGGAAGGGAAGGGGTTAATTTATTTAAATATTTAACAGATTTCCTTTATTTATCTTTAGACTTTATTATAGTTTTATTGAAGCATTAAATTTCTTGAATTTCTTCTTTTTACTATTTATTTATTGAGGTGTGTTATGTGTGTGTTTTGTGTTTGTATTATTATGCACCTAATCAATTTTGACGAAAACGCCAAAGGTTAGGAAAGTCCAGAATGTATTTGGTAAAACATGATATATTCTTTTACAGAACTAAAGTCATAGTACAAAAGATCAACGGACTTCGAGCGGGCAGAAAATACGCGATTCAAGTTACAGCGGCGACAAAAGGAATTCCTGTGCCATACAAAGTTTTATATGCCGACACTAACGTAACTTGCTGAGATGAGTTGAGTTCTCTTACCTAAAACATATTACCGTATACGTATCAACACCCCACGAACAAAGTTTGCTATACTGAATCTTTAATGTTTGAATGTCAAAATTTCTTTGTAATTGTATTTCTTGATATATTCTGTGCACGATTACATACATGGATGATTGTAAATATTGTAGGTACTTATTAAAAGTAAGAACTTATAATGATGACAACATGTTATTAGTTTGAGTTACTTTGTACATAGAACTTGCTCTAAGACATAGAAGGGTAATACTGATAAAAAAGCGAACGTGAGTATCGTATAACACTCGATACGAACGAAGTTAAAAACTACCACGGATGAGTAAAAACCAAAAAAAACATCCTTAGAAAAACAACCCTTAAAATCTACCTTAGAAGAATAAAACTACCATTAAAAACTACCATAGATGGAGGGAAATTACTAAAAAAAACATCCCGACTAGCCCACAATTTCTCGCTAAAACATCGTATTATAATACCCCAATCTGGCAATTCTTTTTTCGCCTAATGCCCCCTGTACACGTCGACAAATGCATCTGCGGATGTTATCTGCGGATGCGTCCGCCGACGTGTAGACGGGGTAGTTTGCGCGTTTGTGGTAGGTATTTGACGTCCGCAGATGCGTTTGCCATCAATCAGTTAAATAGTTGTCGGTTTTTGTGGCACGCAACAAAGGGATTTAGGCGGACGTCAGGCGTGCCTGTCCACACGTCTGACAACGCATCAGATCCCTTAGTAAAAGTTCGAGCTCACGAAAACTATCATAGTTTTCGTAATTGTAAATTATGTTTCTATGTCCATTTTGGTGAAAAGTAACCAAATAAACTTAAAATTTAAAAAGACGCAAATTTAATGATAGAATTTAAACACTGTTTATTTGTATTGAAACAAAAACAATGAAATCAGTACCCATATTTAGAGTGCGAGCTCACGAAAACTATCATAGTTTTCGTAATTGTAAAACTCGTTCTAAGGGTACAATAGTATCGGATTTGCGAATGAGAGCGCATGCGTGCTTGCTATTTTTTTTTTCGCGTGTCTTATTCTCGTTCGCCAAAACGGCTTATATGAGCACTAATGAAACATTTAAATGTCTCGAATTGTAATTATAATTTTTAATAATTAATTGTAATTATTATTTTATTTATACCTAATAATTGTAATTTATTAAAAGTTAAATGTACTAAACAAATTTAATGGTTGCGTCAGCTACGGTCTCAATATCCATTTTTGAATGGTGCGTGCGTGCGTGTTGCGTCTTTCGAGAATGAACACAGACTGAATGACCTACAGACGTCGTCAGACGTGTGGTCGGCTCGTGGTGATCCATCTGAAGATGCATCTGTCGACGTCCGCGCATCCGCCGAAGTAGAGGCATAAGTCCCATCCGCCGCACCGTCCGAAAAAGAATTTCGTTTCAAAAATCAATAGTCTGTATTGATCTGTAATAATTTATTATACCTACCTTTGGCTACAAGTTTTCAGTTTTGTGGGTTGTTCGGAATTTATATTTATTATTCCAATATTACTTAATTTTATTTTTTATTATTATTTTAAATCGTAACCGTTGTTTGTAAATACCTAGGACTTATTTATTTATAGTACATTTCTTAAAAAAAACGCTTTTGAGTGTAGGTATATTCTGGTTCAAAATATCGGTAGTCACTGCATCGCTGTGTCAAAAACGCTACATCGACGGGTTAATGAATCGACAGTTCCACAGAATTCAGAATGAGCTTAGTATTTTGGTCAAAACTATAGTTTATTTCATTCCAGGTTTTTTAATAATTATTATAAAATATTTATTTAATGGCAAATGGCAAGTTTATATACCTATTTTTTGTTGCTGTTGTTAATGATTCTGTTCATCTTTTATTAAATTATTAGGGTATTTTATAGGTAAATTATTTCAAGAAGAATTAATCATTAATTGGTATAATAAGTTTACCGTGATTTCACAAATATCATTCATGACTGGACTTATTGACATTTGCCATAGTGATTGAGTAGACATTATAAGCTACCACACACTATACATAGGTAAACGTAATAATGCCGGGGTGGCCAGCATCCTTAATTAAACACGATTTAAAATTAATCGGAGATAAATAAAAAAGTTAAAGTATCTGCTTATATTATATTATAAAAAAATTCCTCAAATGATATGTTTCGTCGCTACCGGACACCGATTACCACTTATGAACAACCTCCTTTATTTTTTTAAATACTTATGTAAGCTTTTAGCTTAGCTACGGACCATATTAATGAAGAACCCTAAACTTCTGCTCTTTATTTTATTTTTAACGTGTTTGATGTGACATATGTATATTAAATAAGGGATATTATAGAGATTTTGGCCTAAAGTTTTAATATTAATAACGTAGTCATGTATTACATAACACTGGCATTTATTGAAACGGTGATACTTGCTGATAATGTTCCTATAGTTTTTTTGTAGATATTATTTAAATATAAGTAATTGTACACAGAAATATTAATAATAATGAAAAAGAAATAAAATATGGAAAAAAAGTAAAACTGCATTTTTTTTAATTATTATTAAATACCTACATAAAATATATGTAAATTGTTTGCGCTTAACTTCCAAACGCCTGATGCAACAAATTTCGATTTTTTTTTGTTTCGTTATTGTCAGGGCCGGATTTGCTTAATACCTAGTCAGGTCATAAATTCTGTCACATGTTTAATATGAAATAATTGAAACAAGTTTATTCATTATGTAACCATTTATATACCAAAACTAGCAAACCCCGCGAACTCCGTTTCGCCACCAGATGGCTTCGTTTTATGTAACATTTCGTTTGGTGATTAAAAGAAGTTTTTTTTTTAATTTTTCCTGAATTTTCTTTGCTATAAACCTCACGGAACCCGAGACCTTTCCAACGAATGCAAAACCGTGGATATCGGTTCGTGCGTTCTGGAGTTATAGCGTCAGGAAGGAAAACCCGACTTATTTTTATATAGTAGATGAACTTAACAAAACATAGATTCTTATGACAATAAAGTTTATTCAATCATCCTCCGTGATTTTGAATACAGGCCTTCAATCTGCGCGGCCAGTCGTCTATCGCAGCACGAACGAGGTCCATGTCAATATCGGCGGGCGGCTGCCTTAATCAAGGATGTCTTGAGTGACTCCAAATTGGGATGAGGCTTTGAGCACGCCTTTTCCTCCAAGTGTTGCCATATCTTGTAATCTAACGGACTCAAATCTGAACTGGAGGAGGGCTAGTCTTAGTGCCGGATGAAGTCGATTTCACGCGCCAAAAGCCAGTCTTGTGTGCTCTTCGCTCTATGAGCTGGCGCCGAATCTTGTTGGAATATCCAGTGCCTGTTATTGAACATGGTATGAGAAACAGATTTCACAAGGTTCGTCAGGACTGTATTTTGATACAAAACTGCATTCGTTTTTACACCTTTCTCACAAAAATGTACCTCTGTTTAGCCCCAATAAGAAACTCCCAACCATACCATGAGCGAGGATGGAAAATGACCTCGTTGGATACGCGGAATACGGTTGCTCGCTTCTTCACTACTGTGTGCGTACACCTTATCATTTTGTTTGTTGTAGCTCTCTTCTATGGTAAAAATATTTTCATCCGAAAAAAGAATTTCCCGGTATTTTTTTTCCGCGTACCGCTTCAACAAAGCGCGGCATCTCTTCAGTCTCTGATCCATTAGAAGTGCATTCAAAAGATATCCTGTTTTTCTTCGATATGCCCGAAGCCCTAAGTCTTCATTTAACACACTTTTCACCGTGGTTCTGCTTAACCCAATCTCCAAGGCCACCAGTTTCTGCTTACGTTTGGGTTCACAGCTTTTATCACTGCTTGAGTCCTAACAGACCGAGGGCGACCACTTCTTGACCTGTCATTACACTAGAGTCTTCATTGTATCGTTTGATGGTACGATAAATGAATCTTTTGGTAATATTCAAAATTTTCAGTATGTCAAAAATTTGAATTGGCGCGTAACCGCAACGATGCAACGCAATAACTGCAACACGGTCTTCTTTATGCGTCCACTCCATATTTAAAAATGAGTAAAATTCTAAAAAGTATACATTTTTATTTTCATGAACAATTCGAAATTCGAATTCAATAAACTTTTTTGTGGCCGGCATTCTAAAAGAAAAGTTTTTACTGTGTGACAATACTTATGACCTGACTGCCCTGACCAAAAAATCATGGCTTTACGAAGTTAACCGGGTCTTTATTATAGTTTTTATTATAATTTTTAAGCTGGCCATTTTGGAACTCTGGGTAACCACCCGTAACCGGAAGCAATCCCAGCTGACGTACCTTTGGCTTATATTACTGTTGGCTTATATGTCACCACTTTACCTAAGTTTAAGGTCTAATGTGGATGTAAATAAAAGCTGTTATAGTTAATCACTGACTGTTTATTCACTTCACTAATGTTCATCTAAATTACTCTGACTCCAAATTATAATGTCTATTTTCTAACTGTTATGCGTACTATTACAATGACTTAAGAATAAACCTGACGGGATCGGTGGTTATGTGCGACTGGCTCGCGTCACCGCGGACCGCGCGTCGACGCTTATATCAAGTCAGCATTCTTGGAATCCAGTCGCCATATACCTAAGAAGACTTGTCCTCCAGAGCTGTCTTCAGTGCTGACGCGCCTTTAATCTCACTCCTATGCCGCTGGCATGGTCCCCTTTACGTCGAAGGTAGCCTTAGAGCATCTAATCCGTAAGAAAGGTGACAGTTCAGTTCAGACCCATTAAACGACTTACCCAATATAGTTGTGATGTTGCTTTATAAAGCACAGGTCCGGCCGTATGTGGAATACTGCTCTTCATTTGTGCTATAGCACCCCAATACCAGCTCTTTCCTCTTGACAGGATACAAAGGCGGGTTGTTCGACTTATTGATATCATCCTCACTCCTCAGATCCTGCTCTCACTGACGCGTTCCAACCCCTAAGCTTGCGCAGAGACGTTGCGTCTTTGTGCGTGTTGTACCGACTATACAATGGAGAGTGTTTCGAGGAATTATTTAATCAGTAGGCCTATTCCCTAATTGCTTATGACAGATGGAAGGGATAATTACTGAGCTATTTAGCGATGTGTTCTGAAAAGCATCGTTTAATATGCAATCTTGTCTTTAGTTACACACTGTAAATGTCAAAAAAGTTAGCGAACAGACCGGGTGGTGCCAGCAGCCAAGTTCATTTACCACACCATACGCCGCAGAGAGAAGTTTCAGCCCCCACCATCCGACGCTTGGTGTTTTAGCACCATGCGTTACCAAGAGTTCTAAGTTAAAAAATAATATTAAATAGGTAATGCAAAAGATGTATAGTCTTTGTACTTTCAGAAAAATATAATTTCCTTTCTGTTCAATGCAATATACAAAAATATAACATATCCCCTTCTCAGAGCACGATGCTCGCATCAGATTATTATTAAGCCTGTAAGGCCTTTATGGCCATAGGCACCGGGCCCCCCACAAGTTAGTTTTAGTCAGTAAGAATCTGTCATAACCCTGCAGCTGGCTGCAGCGTATCCATGAGGATTTCACATCAGCTCCCGGCCGCCGCAACGTCCTCTCGTGATCGACAGTCACGTTGCGCTACGTTTTCAACCAGCTTACGTCGGATGGAAAACATGTAAACGCCTCGTTGTCCACCAGTGAACGTCGCTCCACCGCGTTGTTGACTTCGCTTTGTCAGTGAAAATTAAGTACCCAGTGTGTTAAAGATAGTCACTAGGTTTACACGTGTGTTACCCATCACAATGTTTAATGTTACAAACCGTGAATTGGTTTTAATAGCTGTCGCGTTTGATGATTAAGAAAATAAAAAGCGTTATTCGTGTCATTTAGGTCCACTCAGGAGCAATACGTTTACAACTAGCAGCCAGCACACGGCAAGCGTGTGCGAGCAGCGGGTGTTCACCAAGTTGTCCGACCGCCGCTGCCAGCTTGCGAGCGAGGTGATTCGGTGACGGTTCAGAGTTGATGAAGTAAACGTATACCCATAGAAATCCATTCAAAGAATATCAACCGCACGAGTTGAGGCGGCTGGTCGGGTGTCAGGTGGGTCTCATGAGCTGAGAGCTTAAATCATGCCAGAATCAGGCTTATTGACAACGCCAATGGATAATTAATTGTAATACAATCTACTTCAAATAAAATAAAAATACGAAAAAACATGGCTGTATATACTTAATATCCTTTGCTTTATTGTTTTTGGCGGGATTTCATCGAGTGCGGCTGGAGTGGTGGATATTGTGAAATTAAATTTGTGTTATTCTGTGTTACAACTGTCTGCGCGACTGAAGAATTCCTGGAATCTTTAAAGTATACGCTATTCCGGTCAAGTAGACTTGAGCTTATCGAGAAAGCTGAATTGATAAATTTCGTCCCAAATACTCCAATAAACATTAGAATGTATCACACCTACATTCTAATGTAAAAATGAACATTAACAAAATTGAAGACTAGGCTGCATGGGCATTGTTCTATTTGCCTTCCCTAAAAAGAGAGAATGTAAAAAAAAACAATCAGCTGTCAAATCAATCTGTCAACTTCTGTCAAATGAAGTGGACTTGGAAATTGGAATCAAGTCCAAGACCGAACAAATATTAAGTTAAATAAGTCACAACAGTGTAACATTACCTTGTAGTTATGTCCACCAACGAAAAAGAATACTTTGGACCGTTGACACTACATCAGAAAAGTGTTAAACCAACAATATTCAAGAGCGACGAGCCGGAAGAATGTCAGTGCGTTTTGTGCAAAGAAAAATACATATTGCCCTCCTCAGAGAAACAACTCCTCACCCATCTCTTCATGAAGCATCGCCTGGTGATTTCCGATGTTAACCAGATTGCAGATCTGAACGCTTATATAAAATACTGGAGGTTGAGATTTAAAGGTTAGATACCTTCCTTAATATGCGTGAATACCACAACATTTAACGTAACTATATAATAATAACATAAACTCACAATACATACGGCTCGCTATAAATGTGTATGTATGTTTAAAATCACCATAGCAGAAAATGTATCTAAAGATTCTTTTATATTGTCTTAGTGTTTTGGGTTGCTAAATTGAATTTAATTTGGTTTCAAAGTTATAGATACAATATAAACGTGGATTGCATGAGAGACAATGTTGTGATGAACAATTTTTAGTCTTTGTCATTAAGCAATTAGAAATGTTACGAACTCTTTTTAATTTAGAAAGTAATGAAGATATTTCTTAAAAAGATTACTTATTTGACTTTTATAGTAAAGAAGCTAAAAAAGCTAGATAAATATCATGATCTCCCTAGGGAGATATTACATTTTGGCATTTTATTCTCAGTTGATATTTACAAATTATGTGATAGGTTTATCACATTATCTATAGTAATTTGAGAAACTACTTTAACCAATAATGAACCTTCAAAATATAAAATTATGTATGTCAATCTAATCTGATATACAAAAAGTATTGACTCTGCTGTGCAAAGAAACACTTACAAAAATAGTATGGTTTAAGATACCACAAAACAAGTG